GCCGTGGACCCAAACGCCGTGCCGCCGCCGCCGCAGGCAGCACCCCTGCGACGGCGGCGGCAGCAAGCCGTGGACCGAAACTCCGTGCCGCCGAGTCCCGTGGCTGTGGCCGTGGGCTTCTGGCAGGAAACTACGGCCGCAGCTCGGCAGCACGGGGGCGTCGCAGCGTGCCGCCGCCGCCGCGCTGCCCCCCGGGCACGGCGGCGGCGGCAGCAAGCTTGGGCCCAAACGCCGTGCCGCCGAGTCCCGTGGCTGCGACCGTAGACCGTGGGCCGGAAACTGCGGCCGCAGCTCGGCGGCACGTGGTTCTGGTCAAATCGCCAAGCGTGCAGCAGCGCCGAACCACGCTTCCCGGCCTCGGCGCATGCCTTCAGGGGCCCCCTATCGCTGGGCACACCCCTCCAACACCGAACATGCGCCCGGGGGGGAGGGCGGCCCGGGCGGCCCAGGCCAAAGTGGGCCGCCCTCGAGCAAGAGGCGGCCGGGCTGTGTGCTGAATGAATGAATGAATGAATGCACTCTGGCACACAGTGGAGAGTTGGGCCGCTACTGTAAATGGTTTGCAATAGATGAAAGCCAGCATGGGAGGGCAGCGATCAGCTAGAGGGTGCAGCCGGCACTCTGCCTGGTGCGCTCGACAGTTGACATGGGAGCAGGCCCTGCTGATTACCTCACAGCCCGGCACCTGCAGGCAGCAAGGAGGCGGGGCAGCGCAGAGGAATGTACCAGGGGAGGCGCACAGGTTGTACACCCTCCAGTCTGGCGCGGCCGTAATGCTGCACCACATGGCACACGCCTCAGTGCTCTGTTAGCCGCTGCCACAAACACTCAAGTGTTTGACAAGCGCGAGAGAAGGAATTGCTCAAGAAAAGGACAGGCGAGAATAAACGGGGTATTCAGTGCAAACATGTCATGCATGAGTAACTGTCTCAAGCCACGTGCTACTCAAAGGGTCGCATCAAAGCAGGCTGCCAGCAAATGGAGGGCGATCCAGCTGCACCCTGCGCCCTGCGGTGTCTGGCGCGCCCTCCTGTAGCAGCTGCTTCAGCAGGGACTGCAGGGACTGGAGCAAGCCTTCAAAGGTGGGCCTGCAATCACGGCAGCCGAGCAGCAGCTCTGGGCTCTGGAGATGGCATGCGACCGGCGTGCAGGTGCCATCAGCGGATCTTTAGGGCACCTACCTTTCTTCAGGGGCGTCTGCCCAGCACTGCTGCATGAGGGCAGCATAGCCATCCGGGCAACCTGGCGGTACCGGCGGGCGGCTGTGCTGCGACACCACAGCAAAGATGAGCTTGGCCAGCGGCAGGCCCGGCCAGGCCCGGCGGCGCATCCAAACCTCATACACTGCAGGCCGCAGTGATGGGGTACACAGACAGGTTGGCAGAGTCGCAGGACCAACACAAATTCTCAAAAAGCTTGTTAGCATCAATGTATGGCTGTGCAGCCCTGCGCCGCACTCACTCAGAATCCCAAAGGAGAAGACGTCAGAGGCTTTGGTGAGGCGGCCAGCAAACACCTCTGGGGCCATGTAGGCCGCAGTGCCCACCTCGGCAGAGGCCGACATGGAGGTCTGCAGCACGGCAGGAGGGGTGGCCACAGCACGTCAGCAGGCTGGCAGCCAGGTAGAGCGGTGGCAGGCAGCAGGGCAGCGGGGCTGATGCCGCCCCCACGCACAGGGCATGCACAGCAGAGAGTGCATTCATTCATTCATTCATTCAGCACACAGCCCGGCCGCCTCTTGCTCGAGGGCGGCCCACTTTGGCCTGGGCCGCCCGGGCCGCCCTCCCCCCCGGGCGCATGTTCGGTGTTGGAGGGGTGTGCCCAGCGATAGGGGGGCCCTGAAGGCATGCGCCGAGGCCGGGAAGCGTGGTTCGGCGCTGCTGCACGCTTGGCGATTTGACCAGAACCACGTGCCGCCGAGCTGCGGCCGCAGTTTCCGGCCCACGGTCTACGGTCGCAGCCACGGGACTCGGCGGCACGGCGTTTGGGCCCAAGCTTGCTGCCGCCGCCGCCGTGCCCGGGGGGCAGCGCGGCGGCGGCGGCACGCTGCGACGCCCCCGTGCTGCCGAGCTGCGGCCGTAGTTTCCTGCCAGAAGCCCACGGCCACAGCCACGGGACTCGGCGGCACGGAGTTTCGGTCCACGGCTTGCTGCCGCCGCCGTCGCAGGGGTGCTGCCTGCGGCGGCGGCGGCACGGCGTTTGGGTCCACGGCTTGCTGCCGCTGCCGCCGCCGCAGGGGTGCTGCCTGCGGCGGCGGCGGTAGCGCACGTGGCAACCCCCCGCGTTTCCTTGCCTCCCATCCACCGGACCCCGTCCTGCGCTTCACTTTGTTTAGGGAGGGGCTGCTCACTGCTCATTGCTCATTGCTCATCGCACACTGCTCAACGCTCATTGCCCTATATCCCACCCAGCCGCAGGACTCCACTGCCGCCCGCGCCCCGCCCCATCTGGCCGCTTGCGCGCCCCATCCCCCCTCGATGGGGCCCGCCCACACCGGGGCCTCCCCCCTCCCGCCCACTGCTTTCTCAACGGCCCCGAGCCGGGGCTGCCCTCATTGCATACATAGTGCGCCTTTCCCTGCTTTTCTAGTGACCTAGCGTTCCGCACTGCCGTTTGGCCAGCCCATGCTCCCGTACCGTTGCGTTTCTCCCCAATGCGCCATGCCACTTTGCCAGTCATACACACGTTTCGATGCGTGCCCTGTCAGCTGCTTGCGTTGCATGTCGCCTTGCTCCACCCCTGTTTTATTGCTTTCTCTGCTTTCGCCCGGTTCCCGTCCCGTTTCGGCGGGGAGTCTATGTTGCAAGCTAGTTCTTGCTTTACCAGACTTTAAGCCCACACAAGCAAGCTGTGGGGGCTCATGCAAGGAGCGCACCGCGTCCGGCGGCAGCATGCGGGACAGGCCCAGGTCGGCGATCTTGGCCTGCCAGCCCCGCTTGGTCCACCCCGCGGCGCTCAGAAGCACGTTCGCGGCCTGTGGCACGGCACGCAAAGAGGGGGAGGGGGTCGCCACGGGGAAGCAGCCAGTACAAGCCAGTACAAGCAAACCCAGGAAGCTGGGGAGGCATGCTGCTGAACCCTCGCCACGGTGCCTGCCCCCACCCCCACAGCCCAACCTTGACGTCGCCGTGCACGATGCCAGCAACAGAGAGGTAGTCCAGGCCCTGGGCCGCATCAATCAGCATGCGCACAATGGCGACCTGCGGGGGCGATGGCAGCATTCCGTCGGGAGATGGTTTCCGATGCGAGATGATGCTTGAGCGGCCGCTCAGGCAGCACGGCAGCTCCTGCGCCGCATCACGAAGCTTGCCTGGTCCGGGCTGCCGTCCTCCGCGTACAGCACCCTGCCATCCCGCATGCAGTCCTCCACGCTGCGACTGCACAGCTCCTGCGGCACAGCAGGCAGGCAGGCAGGAAGCAGAAGCAACGCTCGATGACACTTTTAGGGCGGGTGCAAAGAACCCACACCAGAGCGCATGGGCTGCTCTTTGCCAGCAGCACCGACCTGCACAATGAGCGTCACACCCATGGATGGCGCCTGGTCTGGCTCAGCCGTCAGGCTGTCTGGCAGGGAGGCAGCAGGGTGCAGCTGGGAGGAGGGCGGTGCCACCGAAGCCTTGGCCATGCGAGGGGGAATGCCATCCCTGCTGCTGGCTGGCACGAGGATGCTGGCGCCACCGGCTGGCGCCGCGCTGCTGCTATCCAGCACGCCGCGCCTGCCTGCAGATCCAGTGAGCCAGCGCAGCAGCCTGCTGCTGTTGCTGTGCGGGCTGACAGCAAGGCCCTGGCTGGCGGAGCTGCTGGCGGGCCGATCAGCCAGCGGCATGGCTGGCGCCACAGTGCCTGCCGCTGCCTGGCCGATGCTTTCAGGCAGCGGCTGCGGCCCTGCTGCCTCGACTTCCACTTGCGGCTGCAGCTTGGTGAGGTCACGCAGGTTGAGGGTGACGACCTTGTAGGTCGCTACCTGCGTTCACAGGCAGTACAGTGACAGGCACTCATAATGCAAGCCTCATTAAACACATCTCCTGGCATGAGCTGGCGGCAGAGCCACCTTCAGCTGCCAGTCTAGCAAACGGCAACTTCAAGTGAATGGCAGCAGGTCAAACTTGCCACGTTGGGGTGCGAGACGCTGGTGGACACGGAGGCCTCGCGGTGGATGGAGGCCAGGATGCCGCCAGACAGGCCATGCTCGATGACCTTGGCAGACACCAGGAAGCCGCGCCAGCGCGCTGCGGGGGAGGCGGGAGGAAGGGAGGCGTGCGCGAGTGGGCTGGCTGGCTGGCTGGCTGGCTGCGACTGAACCGGCAAGGGGCCCAGGCTGTGCACGGCACATGCAATGATGCGGCCAGGAGCCTCCGACCCCGCCCTCCAACACACACACACACACACACACACACACACACACACACGCGCGCGCGCGCGCGCGCCTGCAGCCCGCACCTTTCCACACGGTGGCAAAGCCCCCGCGGCCAATGGGCTCCAGCAGCTGCAGGCCCTGCACCTCGCCAATGCGGCTGCTCCAGGTGCCTCGCAGCTGCTGCAGGGTCCCGGACAGCTCGCACTCCAACGCTGGCGTGATGGCCTGCACCCAGGAGCAGGCAGAGGAGGCAGGCTGGGAGGGGGGAGGAACAAGGCGCTGCAGGCCGGAAGCCTTGGCTCATGTTGCCAGGCCACTCGAGGTGTGTTCTACTGCTGGCAACCCAAGACCCCGGGCCGGCCAGCGCTAACCTTCTCCAGGTCTTTGTCTTCAGGAGAAGAGGTCCTGATCAGGCTCAGCTGCCCGGGTGGCCCAGCGGGCGACTCGGCGGGGGTCAGGCTGCTATCTGCTTCTCCAGGCTGAGCCTGTGCCCTCCGCTGCCGCCTGCGGCGGCGCAGCAGCACGGCGACGGCCCCCATGACCGCCACAGCGGCCGAAGCAGCCACTGCCACAAGCGCCCACACCCAGCCGGGCGTGCCGCCGCCTCCCTCACTGCTGTCGGCCTGGCTTTCCGTGGCTGACGCGGTCGCCTGGAGCGTGGCTGTCGGGTCCACTCGGCAGGTGAAAATGTTGTCCTGCAGCAGCCCGGTGGCATGGCTGTGAAATGCCAGGTGGCACCACACCAGCAGCCGTGTGCGGGTAGGAGCAGAGGGGCGGCGCCAAGCCCTCATCTGCCCACACATCCACCGGATGCGTCTAGCCGGCCGCCATCATGCCATCGCGCCTGTGCCAGCAGATGCGCCTTGCCGAGCCCCTGGGCGCTGCCGTTGGCGCTGACGAGGTTGATGTCGAACCTGCGCGGCCCGGAGAAGCTGTAGGTGGTGGCGTTGAGCCTGGTCACCTCGCTGGCGTTGCCCACCAGCAGGCCCACTCGGAACAGGATGCCTGCGCACGCAGACACACGAGGGTGGGGCAGGGGCAGGCCAGGAGGGGCACACAATATCGACCCGCCTCAGCAGGCTCACAGATCTACAGGGCTCCCTGTGTGCGTGTGTGTGCGCGCGCGCGCGCGCGCCCACGTGTGTGTCGGGTGCGCTCACCATCGATGTTGTCCGAGGAGCAGTCGGCCTGCCAGAACTCTGTGTACATCCTCCTGTGCACATTCTGCAGGAGATGGGCCAGGGTGCAGGGACAGTGCCACTGGTCTGCTTCTAGCCGACGTGCTGGCTCAGCAAGCGCAGGCTGGCCTCTAACAGCACACTATCCCGACAAGGCGAGCCACCACGTGCGGTACTGCAAAAGGCAAGCGCACTCACCAGGCCTTCGGGCTGGCAGATGATGGCGGGATTAAAGCCGATGCCGCGAGGCTGGTCGGGCCGCTTGGCCAGCCAGGCGCCTGTCGGCGCGTTGTTGCGCAGCAGCAGGCCCTCCAGGCCCAGCAGGCCGCCTGGCTCCACAATGATGGCCTCCTCCCGCTGCGCCAGGTCCAGCGTCGCAGCCCCCGCCTGCTGGATGGCGTCGGCGCTGCGCCGCACGTCCATAGAGTCTGCAGGCCGCGGGGTGGGGGAGCAGGCAGCCGCGCAGCAGGGCGGTTCAACGGACCCGAGCAGGGGAGCGGCGGGGGCTCGCGCCGGGAGGTGGGCGGGCACTGGCGCGCAGCCCACCCGTGTCCAGCTCCGACTTGAGGATCACGGCCATGCCTGGCTTGATGAAGGTGGGCTGCTCCCACGCTGGGTCATCCAGCGCAACGTCCCCTGCAACGCAGGCAAGGTGCCAGAGAGCAGCACCATGAACGCGGGCAGCAGCATCATGACCGCCGGCACGACACGGCCTCGCACCCCTCACCCTGCAGCACCACGCTCAGCACGCCTTCCTGCTGCTCCTGCAGCGCTTGCCACAGATCCAGGGAGCTGTTTACTTCCACAACGCGACCAGCCGACAGCACAGCGTCTATGGCTTGCTCCGGGGGGATGCTGGGGTCCAGCACAGCCTCAGCCAGCTGGGCAGCAGTCGGGGAAGAGCCCTGGTCACTGCCAGGGCTGCTGGTGGCAGCGCTGGGCAGCCTTGCGGCTGCACAGGCGCCTGCAGCCATGGCCAGCCACAGGAATCTAACGCATGCCTTCATGGCGTCCTGTACTGCACTCCACAGGAGGGCCAAGGCCAAAGAGGGGCCGACCTGGCAGTACAGGCACGGATGTACGGCACTGAGTCTGCGACCTGCTCGCCTGAGGCCGCTGATCGATCTTTGAGGCGCAATGGCGTGATCGACAGCGGGCCCGGCACAGATAGCCAGCAGCATGGCTGAGCCCGACACCCACCGCCTCCTGGAGAGGCTCTCTGCCCAGGGTTTCGTGCTACCACTGCAGGGTGAGGCGGCGCAGTGCGCATATGCAGCCAATTCTCAGCCGGCACGCTCCCGCCACCGGCTGCCGTCGCCGCCAGCCGCCGCCGCCAACCACCGCTGCCAGCTGCCTTGTTTGCGCAGGCGAGGATGTGGAGGTGCTGGACAGCCCTGACAAGTTCTTCCGGGAGCTGCTGGTGGGTTGCCCTGCGCAGCACCGCTCGTCTTCGCTGTCCAGGAGCCAGCCAGCCGACGAGGCCCACCGCGTTTCTTGCCGGCCTCGTGCTGGAGCAGGGAGCCAGCCAGCGACCCATGTGCCCCACCCCTGCTCTGCATTGTGGTGCAGGCGGGCCTGCGTTCCGCACAGCGCCACATCTCCATCGCCTCTCTCTACTTTGGCACCGGAGGCGGGCGGGAGCGGGAGTTTGCCGACGCGCTCGCAGCAGCGGCCCACGACGCCTCCCGCCCCAGCCTGCGCATGCACATCCTGCTGGATGCGCTGCGCTCCACTCGCCCCACGCGGGGCGCCAGCGACAGCAGCAGCCACGGCACCGGCACCAGCACAAGTGGCGGCAGCCCACCAATGACGAGCACGGCAGAGATGCTGGCGGTACGCCTGCTGGAGGGGCAGCCTGCGGCAGCTGCTGGCAGCGGCGGCGGCAGCGACGGCGCCGGGGCGCGGCAGCGGGGCAGGGTGCAGGTGTCGCTGTTCCACACGCCGGCACTGCGGGGCCTGCTCAAGAGGTGGGGCGCGTCTGCAAGCCTGTGGCGCAGCGCACGACCTGCTCCAGCTGGCGAGGGCCGGTCTCCAAGCTCTGTTCGCCGCCGCCGTCGCCGCGCTGCAGGGTGCTGCCTCCCCGCGTTTCGGAAGTGATCGGCGTGTGCCACATCAAGGCATACAGCTTTGACGACACGGGTGAGCGCTTGGCGCCGCCGGGATGCCTGGCTCTGGCCGCGGCCTGATCCCAGCCCTGCTGGCCAGCAGGCCAGCCCTCCCGCTGCCGCTGCTGCTGCTCTTCGACTGCTGCTGCTGCTGCTCCTTGAATGGGGTGCGGGTTCCCGCTCCTGCTTGGCTGAGTGCCGCCTGCAGTCATCATCAGCGGCGCCAACATCAGCAGCACTTACCTGAGCACCCGGCAAGACCGCTACCTGGTGCTGCGCCGCTCGCCGCAGCTGGCCGCCCTGCTGCGCCAAGTGGTGGACGCGGTGGGCCGCTTCTCCTACCAGCTGCAGCCGCTGCCGGCGCCCGACGGCGAGGGACAGGCAGCAGGCGGCGGCGGCGGCGCAAGCGCGGGCATGGGGCGGCGCGATGCGCTGCTGGAGCTCCTGCAGCGGCAGCAGCTGCCGTGGCAGCAGCCGCAGCGCCGCGCAGGCGGAGGCGGGGCGGCCGCCGCGGCCGCGCCGCGACCCCACCGCCCCCACCACCTGCAGCGCCACAGGCAGCAGCGGCAGCAGCGGTACCGCCTGGCGCCCTGCCCGGCGGGTGTGGACCCTGTGCGCCACGCCTACCGCTTCACTGCGCTCTTCCGCCAGGCCATGCTGAGCCTGTTGGTGCCGCGTCAGGGCTGGGCAAGCGTGCTTGACGTCGCGGTGCTGGAGGCGCAGGAGGAGGCGGCGGCAGCCGAGGCGGCGGTGGCGGCGGAAGCGCCAGCTGGCGACAGTGCGCAGGGGCAGGAGCTCCTACCCGGTTTAAGCGTAGGAGGGCCGCTCCCGTGCACCGGCAGCAGCGCGACGAGCAGCGGGCTGGATCCCACGCCAGCAGCGGCAGGGGAGCGGCAGGGGACAGCCGCGGCAGCAGCAGCAGCATCAGCAGCAGCAGCGGTGGGGCCAGCGGACACCTGGATTGTGCCCATGGTGCAGGCTGGCTTCGCGGGAGTGTGCCAGGAGGAGCGGTGCACCCTGGCGCTGCTGGCCTGGGCCACGCACGGAGGCAGCACCTCGGGAGCAGCCGGCGGCGGCGGGGCCTGGGGTTGGGGCGGCCGCAGGCGCGCCAACGGTGCAGCGCGCGAGGGCGGCGGCCACCCCTCGGTGCTGCTGCAGCTGGCTTCTCCTTACCTCAACCTGGCCCGCCCCTACGAGTGGTTCCTCTCTCGCCAGGTGCGCTGCCGCTGGTCCCGCAGCCACTCACCTTCCCTCCTGTGCTCGGTTTGCTCACTGCGCTGCTCCCCCATTGTTCACACAAGGTGCCAGATCCCAGAGGCTGCTGGGCCTCCAGCCCCTTCTGCTGCCCTTCCTGAGGAGGCCCACTCCGCCGCTGCACCCCACTGCTTGCTGCTGCCGCCACCCTCAGGCCTGTGGCGCCCACCTGGACCTCATCACTGCCTCCCCAGAGGCCAACGGCTTCTTTGGCTCCAGCGGCGTCTCTGGCTACATCCCACTGGCTTACAGCCTGCTAGAGCACCGCACCTGGCGCCGCCTCACCCGCCACCAGGGGCCCGGCAGCGGCGACGGCGGCGTGTTGGGCGGCGACGGCGGCGGCCCGCTGGGGCCGGATGCCTGGCGCAGGCGCCAGCTGGCGTGGCGCCAGCGCTGGGCGCGGCAGCCCGCGCGGGGCGACGCAGCGGCGGCAGCGGCGGCGGCGGCAGCAGCGGCGGAGGCAGCGCCGGCGCCCGCCAGCGCAGGCAGCTCTGCGCCAGGCGGTGGCACGGCGGCTGGCCCAGCCCGCCGGCTGTGGGAGTACCGCCGCCCCGGCTGGGAATTCCATGCCAAAGGCCTGTGGATCTCCCCACCCGCCGAGGCAGAGCGGCAGCCAGGTCAGCCGCCGCCGCCGCGTCAGCCGCACGCTGGCGCCTCCCCTGCTCCCGCCTCCCCCTGGTCGCCGCCGCTGGTGACCGCGGTGGGCAGCAGCAACTTTGGCTTCCGCAGCCTGCACCGAGACTTGGAGCTGCAGTTCCTGCTGGTCACGCGCAGCCCCACGCTGCGCGCCGCGCTGGGCGCTGAGGTGGCGGCGCTCACGCGCCGCTGCCTGGCGGTGACGGGCGGCGACGCGCACTTCCTGGCGCCCGGGCGGCGGGGCGGCGCGGTGGCGCGCCTCGCGGTGCGCCTCCTCCGCGGCTTCTTGTGAGCCCCCGCACCGGCTGGGTGGTTTAAGCATGTGCCTTTTGGATGCTCTGTTGTGACTGAGTGACAGTGACATTACCAGGACGGCAGTGCAAGATGCTATGTATTTGGCAAGTCATCATTGTCGGGAAGGCTAGGCAAGGGCATACTGCACGGTCGACAGATGCCATCTGAAACAAGGAAGGCCACGGAAAGCAGGGTATACTACAGGTTTAGTAAAAATGAGAGTTCGGGAGGGTGAGAGTTCAGAAGCTAGGTACGTGCCATGGCAAGTATGGCAATTGCAGTTGCTGAGGCTGGAGCATGAAACAGTCAGCAGGTGGGCGGGCATCCAGGCGCAGCCGACCTCAGTCGAAGCCATTGCAGTCTGCCGCGGCCTGGCGGCGAGCCTGCTCGCGCCTCCGCGCCTCCTCGATGCACGCCTTGCGCTCGCTGCGCCACTCCTTGCCGCCCGCGCCGTCCGCGTCGAGCTGCATGGCCGCGCTGTCAAAGGCGGGGCGGATGCCCGAGATGCGGCGCAGCGTTTTCGCCTCCAGCAGCGCAGGGTGGTGGATGGGGCTGGGGCGGCGCAGCAGCGGGCGGCGGCAGACGCGCATGTCGGCGGCGGGGCGCTCGCCGCAGGCCACGCCGTCCTGGAGGGGGCAGCCCAAGCTGCTGCCGCTGCTGCTGCTGCGGCTGAGGGCGCCGGCCTCGCTGGTCGCGCTCGGCGTGGAGGCGGCCTGGAGGTCTGAGCCAATGCTGGTTTGCGAGCAGCTGCCTTGCAGATCCCCGACTGCCGGCGGCGGCTCTTGGCTGCTGCTTCCAGCCTCATGACTGCGGCTCTGCGCCGGCGCTGCGGCTGCCTCTGCTGCCTGCCCATCCACCTGCTGCTGCTGCTGCAGCAGTGCCTCCATCTGCTGGCCGATGAAGCGCTCTAGGCCCGCCAGCGTGGGGGAGGGGCGGTAGGGCGAGTGGAAGCTGTCTGCAGCAGGGCGCACGCGGGGAGGCCAGGATCAGGATGAAACTTCACAGGCATGAACTGTGACAGGGAGCAGGCAAGTCGTGAGCCTTGGCTGCGGGGCAAAACGCGCAGAGACGGCACACGGGCAGCGGGTCGGGGGCGCATGCTCACCTGAATCGGCCCACTCTTGGCCGGAGCCCACACGGTGCAGGCTGCACTTGTCCAGGTGCGAGGTGGGCAGCGGGTACACCAGCTGCTTGGCCCGCTCGTAGCTGCAGCGCTCCCGCTTGTGCCGCTCCTGCTCTAGCTTCCTCGCCACGACGCAGCGGCGGTGGCATGGCTCCTGCCCGTGCGGCCCTTCCAACACAACCCACTCGTCGCGGCACTCGCGGCTGAGCTTGCTCAACGGCTTGTCGGAGGAGGTGTCGCATATCGTGCAATGCGGCGTGCCCTGCAGGCAACAAGGCAGCACAGCGAACAGAATTTTGAGCGGCGGCGGCAGTGGCGGCGGCGGCAGGACCCGCCGCCGGCGGGTCAACGGAGCCGGGCAGGCGCTGCCACCTCCGATTTGCGTTGTGGGCACCGTACCAGCCATCCCCGGCTTGCGCAACCCCGCGGCGGTGCACCTCCGACAATGTGGCTGCCCCCGTTTTGTGCTCCGGCACGCACCTTGAGCACCGGCGACACTGGTGCTCCCGCGGAGGCGCAATTGCCCATAACCACGCTTTCGGGCTTGGGGAGGCTGGTGCGATGGAGTGCCGGGACCTTGTGTGTGTTCAAGTGTCGGCTGTGGTGTGCAGGGAGATGGAGGTGAGATCGATGTGGAGTGGGAAGGCAAAACTGTTCAGTAAAGGGGAGGCGCCTCAACTGATATGCAACTTGCAGGCACGTTTTGGATTGCGAGAGAGGGCGCGCCCTGGGCGTCTTCCATTCGATCTAGCACTGGATTCGCTCTGAAACGCGTCTCAGCGTGTGCCGCAGCTCAATGCAGCAGGCAGGCCGCAGCAGTATGCCCACTGTGGCGGCGGCAAAACTGTGCAGCGGCCATAGTGGCTCCTGGCAGCAGCCACGCCAGCCTCTCTCCTCTTCTAGCCCGCGCCTCAAGCTTACAACTCGAACCCTCTATGTATAGGGACTACTGACCGCTTGTGGGGCACGGGCAAGCGCACATGGCCGCACTGCAGCCGGGCGCACGCCAACCGCCGCTCCCGCTGACAACCCACCGCTCGCACACCAAGGCAAGGCCACGCAACTCAGCCGGCCCGCTTGGCCTTGTGCGCCTCCTTGAGCGCCTTGAAGCGCTTGAAGCAGTCCGCCTTGCTCTTGCCCGGCACCAGCGCCGCCACCTGGCCCCACCGGTCCTCGGCATCCTTGCCCACAGTCTTTAGCGCCTTGACCAGCGCCAGCTCCTGCTCCTCGTTCCACGCGTCGCCGGCAGCAGGGGCGGGCGCTGCGGCCGCCGCGGGTGCCGCGGCAGGCGCTGCGGGTGCCGCCGCCGCAGCCGCCGCAGCCAGCGGGTCCAGCAGCTGCACCGCCTCGCCCTTGAGCGTCACCTGCGCAGCCAAGGACGCGGCGCCCGCGCCAGCCTCAAGACCGCCCTGCCATCCGGCCTGTCGTCCTTGCATTAGCAGCAGGAGCTCGCGCGTGGTGACCTATCGCCTTCCCAGACTTCCATCCAAATCGGCCACGTGCTACACCCTTTCGTTTCTTTCGTGATCCAATCCGGAGCAGCCCCCCACTGGGTGGGCCCCCACTGGGTGGCACCCCACCCACCTGCACATCTGTGAAGGCCATGGCCCGGGAGTCCGCCTCCGCCTTGTTGGCCAGGTTGGCCTGCCGCTTCTTGGCCACCACAAACGTCTCCGCGTTGGCGGCCGCAAACTTGCCTGCGGCGGCGGCGGGGCCGGCGAGGTGCGCACCACTTGGCGGTGGTGGAAGGTTGGAATCAAGGCTGGGCGCACCGCGGGCCAGTGGCATCCTGCCGCGCCCAGCGTGCTCCTCAACACCACCACACTCACCCACACCCCACCCACACACACACTCACCCGCTTTCAGGCCGTGCTTCACCATGTCCAGAATCTCCTCCACAGTGCGAGTGCGCACATACCCCTGCACCACCTCCCACCGCTTGCCCGTGCCGGGCGGGAACTTGTCCAGCGCCTTGCGCAGCATGCGCACCTGCAGGGAGGGGGTGGGGGTGGTGGTGATGGAAGGAGGAGGGCACAGGGCATGACGACGGTTGCGGTGGGACAGAGGGCGGGGGCACAACGTCGGTGGTGGTGGGAGGGAAGGCAGGGGGGAAGTGGGAGCGACAGACGGGCTGATGGGGGCTGACGGAGGGACAGGCCAGCCTGCGGCCCCGACAGCTGCCTCGTGCAGCGCCGCCCCTGGCAACTGAGCACGTTGCTGTGCTGTGGTGCAGCCTCCAGCCCAGCCGCAAGCCCCGACCCAGCGAATGGGCGCCGGCGCCCGCCTCACCTCCTCCTCGCTCCACTCGCTCAGCTTGGCCTTGATCTGCTGCTTCTCCTTCTTGGCCTGGTCACGCAGGCTGGCCGCCACCTGCGCCGCCGCCGCCTGCTGCGCCGCCGCCTCGGCCGCCGCCGCCTGGCCCACCGCCGCCAGCTGGGCCGCCACGGCCGCCGCCTTGGCGTCGGCGTCCAGGTCAGCGGCTGCCAGCTGGTCGCACAGCTGCTGCATGGCTTCCAGGCCCAGGCTGCCGCACAGCGCCTCCACATCCTCGCCGCCCACCCGCCCAGGGGGCAGCCCCTCCTGCTGCGCGCCGCCGCCGCCGCCCGCCGCCGCCGCCGCCACGCCGCACAGGCGCCGCAGGCGCGCCCGCTCCCGCTGCAGCTGCTTCTTGTCCGCCTGCCGCTGCTTGCGCGCCTCGGCGGCGGCCGCCTCCTCCGCCGCCGCCTTGGCCGCCGCCTCCTCCGCCAGCCGCCGCTCCTCCTCCACCGCCCGCTGCTTCTCCGCCTCCTTCTCCGCCTTGCGCCGCTCGCGCTCGGCACGCTCCTCCTCCTTGCGCCGCAGGATCCTGCAGCAAAGCAAGTGGATGCATAAGGCGGGCCAGCCAGTGAAGCCAAGGAAGCGATCACAGCAGCACAGCGCGCGCTTTCCAAGGCGCCTGGAAGCAGCGCCACGGCGCTCTGGCGGCGGCGGCGGCGAGGCGGTGGGGCACAGCCAGCAGAGCGCGGCGCGGCAGGCAGGCCTGCTGCCACCCCGGTGCCAAAGAGCAGCGCACGCCAGGCGGTACCGCACCTGGGATCCTGGCGGTACGCGCTCTCCACAAAGTCGCGTATGCGCCTGAACTCTTCCTTCTTCCCCTTCTCCCGCAGCTTGTTGTTGTACCGCTCTATCCACCGCCGGTGGTCCCGCGACTCCGCCTGCGCCACCAGCATGTGCGTGGGGAGGTGCAGGAAGCGGCGGCGACGCGGTCGGCGAGCGAGATGCTCTGCGTGGAGAGCAGCAGGCACGAGGCCGGGGCGCAGCCAGGTGCGGCGCTGGCACGCTCAGCTCAGCGCGGCCCGCAGCCCCTGCCCAGCACCCCTTATTGTACCGCCTGCAGCTGCCTGTACCGCCCGCCCACCTGCTCGATGTCCTCCTCCTCGGGGTGAGGGAACTCGCGCCAGCTCTTGAAGGCATACCAGAAGTTGTAGAAGGCATCCACCTGCGGCACAGGTGGTGGCGGCGGCACGGGGGTTCACGATGGCGGCACGGCGGACGGGCAAAGGGCTCGGGATGATGGCGGCACATTCGGGACGATGGCAGCACAGCCACGTGCGCGTGCATGCCCGCGGCTGAGGGCAGGCGCCGAGGGCGGCCTGCTGGGCCCCGCTTCGCCTTGCCTGCCAGCCAGGCACACACACACACACACACACACACAAAGGCGCCAACAACACACGCATGCGCGCCCCCACCTTGTCCAGCGGCGTCTCGTCGTCTCCCACATCCGGCACGGGCTGGTTGGTGGACCAGCGCGCGTTGCGGCGGAAGGCGGCCCCAAACACCTTGTAGAAGTCGGCGGCGGCGCACTCGGTGGGCAGCGAGTCGTCAAAGTCGTCGGTGGAGTCGTACTCGCGACGCTGCGGTACGGTGCGGGAGGGGAGGCGGTATGGGGCGACGACGCATGACCAGGGCCGAGGCATGGGGCGAGCGCGGCGGCCAGCGTCGCAGCGCGCAGGTGCAGGGTGGCTGTGCTTGTGGGGTGGGCAGAATGGCAGATGAAGGGTGGAAGGGCAGCACACGCACACACACAGCGTGAGAGAACAAGGGCTTTAAGATCCCTGGGGTCCCAAAGCACCGCCGCCGCCACACCGGCAGCAGGCGCCGCCGCAGCGCCCGCCGCACCTTTGCCGGGTCCGACAGCGTCTCGTACGCCTCCTGCACCCGCTTGAACTTGTCCTCAATCGCTTTCTTGGCCTCCTCGTCGTCGGTCAGCGCCACGCCCTGCACACAACCAGGATGGGCGCAGGCGCCAGGAGGATGGGCAGGGGGAGGCGCAGGAGTGTTTGGCGAGGTGCCTCGGGGCGCCGGCGGGGTGCCTGGCATCGCCTGATGGCGGAGGCGCTGCCGCAAGAGAGGGCGACGCGCCGCAGCGGCCCCAAGCTCGCCTGCTTGTCCGGGTGGTGCAGCAGCGCAGACTTGCGGTAGGCGGCCTTGATCTGGTCGGCGGTGGCCGTCCAGCGCTGCAGCAGGGGCGGGGCGGCGCGGCGCGATGATCGCCCAGCGGCTGGGGGCGTGTGCCTGAGCGTGTGCCAGGGGCCGTGCTTGAAGAAAAATGATAAAATTGTGCGTGCTCGGCTGGGCCGGGCCGCAAGGCAGGCGGCTACAAGCCCGGCTGGCCGGGGAGGTGGGCGGAAGCAGGCCCCCGGCGCACCTCGTGCTGCAGGCCCAGCAGGCCATACAGGTCGTCCTCTGCCGACCGCTGCTTCTTCTTCTTCTTGCCCTTGCCCTTCCATTTGGCCCTGCGGGCAGCCGGTCAGCCAGGCAGGTAGCCAGGCGTGAGTGGCGGCGCTACTGGCGCGCGCGGCAGGGGCCGGCGCCGGCCGGGCAGCGGGAGGTTCCGGCGCCGGCAGCGCACCCTGCCACTCCCTCATCGTCCAGCGAGGCAAAGTCGGCGGTGCTGTTCTGGCGGCTGGGCTCGCTGCTGGATGCCTCATCGGCCGTCTCCTCCTCAGGCTCCTCTGCAGGCGGGCGGGCAGGCGGGCGGGCAGGGTCGGTGGGCGCCAGCCAGGCGGGAGGCCACAGAGGCACACCGCGGCGCCCAACGGTGCTGCCCACATGCAACATTCTCGGATGCGTGCAAGCTGGTGCGTGCAGCGGCGGCGGCTGCTGCTGCTGCTGCCGCCGCTGGTCGCCCAACGCACCGTACAGGCCAGCCTGCTTGAGGGCGCACAGGTGGAAGGGGTGGCCCGCCGCGTCCTTTGCGTAGCTCCTGGTGAGCGCGGTGAGCTGCGCATACACGGCCGCGCCGCCCTCGGGCACCAGAGCGGCGTTGTGAGTCAGCAGCCGCCGGTGGCGGTGGTGATGGTGGTGGTGGCGCCCGCCCCCCATGGCCGGTGCCTGCGCGACGGTGCGCTTCAGGCCAGCGCCGGGATGCTGTGCTGGGGGCCTGGCGTGTAAATGGTCGAGGCCGCACACTCAGTTGCAATGCATATGCGGCGTGCGCGCAGCTGCAGTGGCGGCGACGAGGTCGGCGAAACGGGCGGTGTGTGAATGCCCTATTCCATCATTACTTTTGAGGCCGGCGGCTCTTCCCTGGCACGTGGCAATTCTGTCGCAGCAGGGTGCCTTGGAGCGCTCTGCCGAACCCGATCATCGCACAGAGCGCTTGAGTTGGCCTTCAACGCATCAACAATAGAGCGCAAAACGAGTCTGGCCACCGAAAGCCGCGTCCCCAGCTTGCGCCCTACAGCTATGGTGAGCCCACGCTGCCTCCTGGTGTTCTGTCGATTGGACCTCGCTGCCGGCAGCGGGCCTGCAGTTGCGAGGCCGCTTGGCCGCCCAGCCGCCGCCAAGTCCCGCCGCCGCCGCTGCCGCCAAGTCCCACATGACGCCACACAGAGAGCTGCCACCACCACCGCCGCTGCTATCATCCCCGCGCCTGTCGACCTTGCAGGCCACCGCCATCACCGCCACCTCCCAGCAGTCGCGCTTCCACACGGAGACGCTGGAGACTGCCAGCCAGGATGTTGACCTGAGGGGCGTGCACCTGGCGGTGGGGGACCGCGAGCTGCTGGCCTCGGCGCACCTGCGCTTGACCGCGGGGCAGCGATACGGCCTGCTCGGCAGGTGGGGGAGGGCTGGCGAGGGGAGGCAGACAGGCTGGCGAGGGGCAAAGTCTCCAGTCGGTCTGGGTGCCCCCGCTTCCCCTGCCCAGGCCCCGGCTCGCTCCCCTGGTTGCACACGCACACGCCGCCCGCAGGAACGGCATCGGCAAGTCGACGCTGTTAAAGGCCGTGGGCATGGGGCTGGTGGTGGGGTTCCCAAAAAACCTGCGCTGCCTGTACGTGGACCAGCTGGAGGGCGTGGATCTAGAGCAGAGCGCGGTGGAGGTGGTGGTGGGCGCTGACGTGGCAGCCCAGCGTGCCCAGCGCGATTCTGAGGCCCTCGAGGCGGCCTTGGAGGGCGGCGACGGCGCCGACGTCGCCCGCACGCTGCGCCAGCTGCAGCTGGACAGGCTGGTGGACGAGGTGGGCGAGGCGCGGCAGACGGCGGAGCGGCGCAGCGGCGAGCGCGGGCTGGCGGCACGGCAGGCGCTGGTGGCGGCCGAGGCGCGGCTGGAGGCCGCGCAGCAGGCGCTGGGGGAGCCGGTGGGGGCGCAGGAGATGCACGGCGCGCTGGGGGTGGCGCAGGTGGGTCCATTCAAGCATCATATTCTTATCTTAAAACTTACTACTTGCACATCATACCTCTATGGAGAGGTCGTTGCTGCACCACCCCCCACCCCCTCCCCCTCACGCAGGACCTGCTGAACGACCTGTTTGAGCGGCTGTCCCTGCGGGAGCCGGAGGAGGCGGAGGCGCAGGCACGAGCCATACTCACGGGCCTGGGATTCACGCAGGCGCAGCAGGAGGCGCCGCTGGGGCAGCTGTCGGGTATGCGGGGGCAGCGGCGCTGCAACGGGGGTTCTGTTGCGACTGGCCAACTGACAGCTTGATGTTGCTGGGCGGCAGCCGGAGGGCGCGGAGTGTAGGAGCCTGCCCTCGCCGCTGCGGGCGTCGACGCTCGCCGCCGCCCCCCTGGTGCAGGCGGCTGGCGCATCCGTGTGTCGCTGGCGCAGGCCTTGTTCCTGCAGCCCGACCTGCTGCTGCTGGACGAGCCCACCAACCACCTGGACCTGCCTGGCATCATCTGGCTGCAGGTGGGGCGGCGCCCTGGTGCCTGCCTGCCTGCCGGCTGGCCTACCTGCCTGCCTGCTGCCTTGGCAGCCCTGCGGTTTGGCAGCCCTGGCAACGCTTGGTGCCCAGCGGCCAGCCCTGCATCGGCACTCGCCTGCCCCGCCCGCCTGGCTGCCGTCCTTCCTACCTCCCGCCCCTGCCTGCCCGCCTCCCCGCAGCGCTACCTGCGCAAGCTGGAGCGCACCACGCTGGTGGTGGTATCCCACGACCGAGCCTTCCTCAACGCTGTGGCCCAGGTGGGCTGCGGCCCTGCTCAGCACACCGCCCGGCTCCGCCCCCTGCCGCCCTGCTCGGGCCCTGCCGCCCTGCGCGCTGCACCACGCCTCCCAGTCCACCACCACACCTCACCCCTCTGCCGCCTCGCTGCCGACCATGCTGTGGAGGCTTTATGCTCACGCCACGTCACCACCACCTTGCCCCCCACCAACACACACACACACACACACACACTCGCCGCAGGAGATCATCGTCTTCCGCAAGCAGCAGCTGTCCTACTACGGCGGCAACTACGACGAGTATGTGGCGCAGGTGGAGGAGCGCCAGCTGCACCAGCAGCGCCTGGCCGACGGCATCGAGCGCAAGCGGGAGCACATGGAGAAGAGGTGGGAGGGTGGCTGGTGGGTGGTGGGGAGTGATATGCAGGCATGTGTGCGGGTGTGTGGGAGGGGTGGTGGTGGGGTGGGGACCCCACACCGGGAGGTGGCGCAGGGCGCCGTGGTGGGGAGCATGGCGGCGCCTGCAGCGTGTGCAGTCTGGTGAGCGCCACGGGCCTGCGCCACCGACGCCGCCTGCACCCCGCCTCGCCCACAGCATCCAGGAGGGTCTGAAGCAAGCGAAAAAGGCGGGGGACGACAAGAAGCTGGGCATGGTGGCGTCCCGCAAGTGAGCAGGGTCGAAGGGCGGGGCTCACCTAGGCGCCACTGGTGCAGCCAGTGCTGCCAGCTGCTTGGGTGTGGCGGTGCGGCAGGTCGGGGTGGCGATGCCGCCGCTGCCGTCCCTGCCGGCCGTGGCCCCGCAGGAAGAAGCTGGAGAACCGGATGGGGATGGAGAAGAATGCGGCGGGGCACCGCCTGCGCCTCAACAAGGACATGGTCGGCTACTTTGACGCCGCTCGGCAGCAGGGTGGGTGTTGTAACCGAACGGATTTGATGTGGGGCTGCGCTGCGCAGGTGCCCAAGGGACAGGCCTGTTGATGTGTTGGGGAGCAGGCGCCTCGCCGCGGATGGTGGGGTTGCTGAGCGGCGCCGCCCGCGGTCGTGCCTGCTGCCGCCTGCAGCGGATGTGGAGGAGAAGGAGGCGAACCCGCCCTGGAAGGTGCAGGAGCCCGACCCGCTGCGCCACAAGGGGCCGGTGGTGCAGGTACGGCACACCGCGTGGGGGAGGAGCCGCTGCTGGACCTGTGGTGTGGTCACTGTGCGGGCCGGCGCAGCGGCAGGGCTGCCTCGCTATCCTGCCATCAACCCTACCTTGCTCGTACACACCCCCACTCCGCGGCCTAAACGAAACCCAATTACACACCCCACCACCACCGCCACCGCCACCACCACCACCACCACCGCCGCCGCCGCCGCCGCCGCCGCCGTTGCCGCCGCCACCACCGCTTACACACACAACCCTGTGGCTCCTCCACCCCACCCACCCCGCCGCCGCAGCTGGAGGCGGTGTCTTGCGGCTACCGCCGCAGCCGGCCGGTGCTCAAGGGGGTGACGCTGTGCGTGGAGCAGGGGGAGCGGGTGGCGCTGGTGGGACCCAACGGGGAGGGCAAGAGTACCCTGGTCAAGACGATGATTGCCCAGCTGCCGGCGCTGGCGGGCACGGTGCAGACCCACAGGCGAGTGGGTGGCTGGGTGGCTGCATCAATGTATCAATGCAGCCTCGTACGGTGCCTCGCATGCCTCCTGCTTTGCCGGGCTGCCCAGGTGCCGCCCCGCTCGATCGTAGCGCTGCCCTGGCGCCCGCCCACCCTTGCAGCTCGGCACGCATCGCCTACTTCCAGCAGACGCAGGTGGAGGAGATGTGTGCGCAGCAGGATGCCACGGCGCTCAGCTACATGCAGGTGGGGGGGGGGGGGTGGAGGGAGGGAGGTGCGAGGGCCAGGGCGGCATGCCACAGCATGCCCGCTCTTCAATCCCTAGGGCCTGTAACAGGTCTGAGGGCAAGGGAGGGGCGTGGCATCTCTCCAGCCGGGCTTGTCCTCGGCGCTGCCACAGTCCCCCCCCTGCCACCACCGGTGCAGGAGAAGTGGCCCGCCGCGCGGGAGCAGGAGCTGCGCAACCACCTGGGGTCGTTTGGGTGCAAGGGAGGCACCGCCACGCAGCCGCTGCGCACGCTGTCAGGTCGGTCTGTGGCGGTTGGGCCCAGGGGCAGCCAGGGGCAGCCAATTGCCTGTCTAGATGCGGCGCCCCGGAGCAGCCAATCGCGTCCCGCCTACCCGCTCGCCCCATGTACCCCACCACACCACCTCACCGGGCGTGTGCCTGCCCTCCCCGTCGCCGCAGGCGGGCAGGCCGTGCGTGTGGCGCTGGCGGCGGCCTTCTACGGGCGCCCCCACCTGCTCATCCTGGATGAGCCCAGCAACCACCTGGACCTGGGCGGCGTGGAGAGCCTGGCGGAGGCGTTGCGGCAGTACGGCGGCAGCGTGCTGCTGGTGTCGCACGACCAGGCAAGCGCGGCGGGCACAGCACGGCACTGCACAGCAGACTCAGCAGGCACAGCATGGCAGGCAGCAAAAGCAGGCAGACGCCGATGGAGCAGCGGCGCGGTTGGCTATGGCCGGTCGATCAGGCTGCCAAGTCATGGTGTGTACCACACACCATGACTTGACACTCCCTATGCTTAGTGCTCATCCTGCCCCTCCCGCTCCCGTCATGTGCAGTGGCTGGTGCAGCAGGCGGCGCAGCGCGTGTTCCTGGTGGCCGCCGGGGAGCTGAAGCTGCTGGAGGGCGGCGTGGCTGAGTATGTGAAGACATTGAGCGGCACGGGGAAGAAGAAGGCGGCAGCGGGAGGCGCGAAAAAGGGCGGCAGCGCCGCGGCCGCCGGCAGCAGCAGCGGCACCAAGGGCGGCGGCCAGAAGAAGCCTGGCGGGAGCCAGAAGCGGTAGCGCCTCTCGCGTTGTTGTATTTGTTTGTGTCACCGGGTCGGCGCACGTTTACCCGCCCGATTTCATCCAGCACTGCGAAGCGTGTCGTATTGCAATAATTGAACTTACAAAAATGAGATTGATCAACGTTGGAAACGAAACGCAACAACAAGCCTCACGCACAATCAGCACAAGTAACAATGAACATTTGCAATCACGCAGTGCCGCGCCACCTGACCCGCTGCATCACTGCTCTGTTGGAGGCGGGCCCTGGCGCCTGCGGCTGTCAGGGGTCATAGTAGCGCCCGCTGGTGCTCATCTGCACTCCGCTCCTCTGCTGCTGCGCCGGCGGGTACGCGGCCCACCCCGAGGGCTGATTGTGCGGCGAGGGCGCATGCCAGCCTCCGCCGCGAGGGTCCTCCTCAAACCTGCGGCAGGGCGGGTGAATGCATGAGATGCAGCGGCAGTATCCCCTCAGCTCCTGCCTGACAAGTTGCGGCCTGGCCTGGCCTGGCCTGGCTGGCTGGCGAGGCAGGCCAGCAGGCAACCCACACGCACCTCTCGAAGCGGTTGGTGCTCAGCGGGTTGGCGCCGCTGGCCAGGTGGCGCCGCTTGCGCCAGTAGAAGACGCCCGCCACGCCGGCGCCAATCGCCAGAATAACTGCAGGGGTGGCAGGCGGGGAGAGGGACGGGCGCGCAGCCCGACAGCCGGTTGGAATGTCGGCGTGCATGCGGCTGGCAGGCCAGGCAGCCCGAGGCAGCCGCTATTTCAAAGGGGGCCGCAGAAGAACGGGAGACGGAAAGCAGCGGCAGGCCCACCTGCAATGGCGATGCCCGCAGCAGCTCCCGTGCTCAAGCCGCTGCTGCCGTCGTCGCTGTCGCTGCTGGTGTCGCTGGGCGCGGGAGCCGGCTCCGGCGACTTGTCAGGTGCAGGCGACTCCTCCAGCCCAGGCGATTGGGGGGGGTCCGGAGAGGCTGCACAGGCACAGGCGGGGCGGCAGCGCAGAGGACAGCAGTGAATGGCAGTGATGCTGGCCGGCTTGCGGGCTACCTGGCTGGCGGCCGGCGCTGCCCCGGTCGTTTCCAGGGCGGCGCCCCTGGGACGGCAAGACACGCAAGACAGAAACGGCTGAACAGGCTGACAGGGCAACACCGCCGCGGCTCCTGGCCTGGCTTGCCCATGCGCAATGCGCGGCGTGCACCTGCGGGCGGCGCCGCCGTCTCCTCGCAGCTGGCGCCGGTGTAGCCAAAGTCTGCGCAATCCCCGCTCTCAAAGCTGTTGCCCGTCAGGTTGACGCTGGGCACCGGTACCAGCGTCTTCACGCTGCTGTAGGCCAGCCATTGGGGCAGGGCGCCTGCGACAGGAGAAGAGAGTAAACGCAGCGCACAGGGCGTGGTCAGAGAGGCTGCAGGCGTAAGCACATGCTGGCATGCGGGAGGCGGCATGTGTGACGCGGGCCTGCAGCTCGGCAGGGCGAGGCAGGCGCCGCAACAGCCGGCTCGTCGGCTGGGCAAGCTGTGAGCGGCGCTGAGGGCGGCGAGGGACCGGCTGCCTCTGCTGTGCTGCTGCGGCGCCCTCCCTCACCCGTCAGCGAGTTGTTGGCCAGGCTGAAGAGCGTGTCGGTTGAGAAGGTGCCGTTGGCGGCGAACATTCCAAACTGCTGCCAGTCGTCGGGGATGGTGCCTGCAGGCAAGGGAGCGGTGGTGGTGTGGTGGTGGTGGTGTGTGGAAGGGGTGGGCTGCGTGCCAGCAGAAGCATGCTCAAGAGCTCAAGTGTATGCACGCAAGAGCCCGCCTGTCCGCAGAATCGGCACGCCATGGGGAGAGCCTCAGTTGATTGCTTGCCTGAGAAGTTGTTGAGGCTGGCGGAGAAGATGTGGACACTGGTGAACAGGGTCCCTTCCTTCTCTGGGAGTGTGGTTCCGTTGGTCAGGCTGGGTAGGGTGCCACTGCATGGAAGCAAAGTGCCAGCCGCGGTCATAGCCAGACCATCACCACGAGCAGCAGGGTGGTGGCGCAGCTAGGACGGCAGGGAGGCCGGCAGGCAGCAAGGCAGGCGGCGGTGGCGCGCGCCTGAGCTTGTTGTTGGAAATGTCCAGATCGAGCAGGGTGGGCAGATCACCAAACCCTGTGGGGAACTGACCCTGCAGCGAGAGGAGCGGCAGCCGCAGCATTCAGGGTCAGAGGCTGTCACTTGGTGTGGAGGTGGCAGGGGGCTGTGCCACGCATGCACCATGCCAGGCCAGGACGGTTCCTTTGGGGAGCGGCCCAGCAATGCCAGCAGCCTGCAGCTCTTGCCTGCAGCTTGTTGTTGCCAAGCAGGATGGTTTGAAGCGGCGGACGTGTAACGAATGTACCCAGGCTGTCCCAGGCTCCAAGCCACCCCTGCTCGCGGGCATCCTGGCCGCTGGGGAGCTGCAGAGCAGTAGGACGGGCGGCGGGATGGGCGGCAGGACAGCGGTGAACAGCTAATGTCAGGGCAGCTGCCAGCGGCCAAAGCCTCGCTGCATTCAAACAAAGCAGCCGGCAGCCGCGGCAGACCCTCCCTTTACCTGGTCCAGCTGGTTGTTGCTGAGGTCGATTGCCTCCAAGCTCGTCTCATCCAACATGCTGGGCCCAAAGAAGGCGCCTGCAGGCCAAGGGCGGGCAGAGGCAAAGCGCCGGTGGGTGGGCGATGCCCGGATGCGAGGCGAGCCAGCGCAGCGACGGAGGACAGACGCCAGGCAAGACGCAAAGGGTGGGCGACAGCGCACCTGACAGCGCGTTGTTGCTCAAGTCCAGCCTGATGAGGTTTGGAGGGATGGCAATGGCCGCAGAGGACTCGCCCCTGTCGGGCACCAGAGTGCCTGCGACGGCACTCAGGGGTAGCCAGGGCTGTCAGCCGGGCGCGCAGATGGGCAGGAGGGCTACCGCAAACACAGCTCCCCAGAGTGTGGAGGTGGTGGTTGCGTGTGCGTATGCATGTGTGCGGTGGTGCTGCAGGCAGGCCGGAGGGCTGGCAAGATGGACCCGCCCCTCCGAGGCTCACCTGAGATGTTGTTACTGCTCATGTCCACCCACGTCAGCTCCGTCTGCCTGAGCCAGCCCTCGGGCAGGTCGCCGCTGAGATCGTTCTGCGCATCGGAGTCGCGGGGCGAAGCCAAGTAGCCAACACCAAAGGGTCAGACAGCTGGCAGGTAGAACAGGCGCAGCCATGTGCAGTTACGGTGACGGGCAGGGGGCAAGCTGGGCGTGCGGCGGCGGTATGCAGCATAAGCAGGCTCACGTTGGCCAGCCGCAGCACTTGGAGCGAGGGCTCTCCGCTCCCAGGGTTCATGTCCTGGCAATGGGAGAGCAAAGCAAGGTGGGGATCCAGGCTGCACCACCCCGCACTGGCTCATGCCCAACCGCCCCTCCCCTGACATCCCGGCAGGCAAGCTGCATGGCATGTGCATGTGCAAGGTTGGCAGCGTGCTCACAGGCAGTGCTCCCGACAGCTTATTGTTGGAAGCAATCAGCTCCTGCATCAACAGCGTGGTGGACCTGCACCGCAGCGCGGCAAGGGGCGGCACTTGGCCACACTGCTGGCCCTTGCAAGCACGCACTTGCATGCAGGGCCAGCAGTGCACGCCAGGCAACAGAAGACGATGGCACCACAACAGTGACAGCAGCAGCAGCAGCAGTGGCAGATGCTCACCCGAAAAACATGCATTCCGGAAGGCCGCCGGTGAGTGACATGGCATTGATGTTGATCACTTTTGCAATCTGCAGGTAGAAAGAACATGCCACGCGGTAAGGATGGTGGGGAAGTGGGCCGGTGGGCAGACGGCACAGCAGGCACGTGGGCGGGCTGGTAGCAACAGCAGGCGCACCTCAGAAGCACCCTGGAACCAGCAAGCGCAGGATGCTAGCAGCGGGTGCCATGCCTGGCTCCCCGAGCGGCTGGAGCCCTCATCGCACCTGTGCCAGCGCGCACACCCCGTCCTCGCCGTCGGTGGATAGCGGCCCGCTGATGCGCACATCCCCCTCCAGGTTCACCTCCTCCAGCACCTCCATGGTGGCCAGCGAGTCGGAAATGACGCTGAGGCTGCCCTGCACGTGGGCATAGCAGCAGGTGGGGGGGCACGCAGGGTCGGCGGCCAGGCGCCAGTCGCACGAGGGCCCCAGCCAGCCCACCAGCCAGCCGTGGTGGCAGCCAGGCAGGCACTGAGGTGTCTTGAATGAGTGGCGCTGGCCACTGGCCCTTCCAGCGCCTCACCTTGAGGTTTGGGTTGTCCCGCAGGTTGAGCACCCGGAGCTGGGTGAAGTTGAGGATGGCATCCAGCGGGAAGTCGCACAGCAGGTTGTACCCTGCAGTACCGCCAGGGAGCGAGCGGGCATGGCAGCCAGGGAGGTGGAGCGGGCAGGCTGGCACAGCCGAAGCAGTGCCATCCGAAGGCCAAACAAGGGCCTCCTGCTTTGATTCAGAGCCTGGCAGCTGCCCAGGGCAGTCCAGCTGGCCCCTCACATCCTCGCTGGCCAGCGGCAGCGGCAGCCGCACCCCACCCACCCCGCATGTTGAGCTCCACCAGTTCCCCCCCCTCGTTGCAGCTGTTCATGCTCAGGGCACACAGGTTGGTGACGTCGGCAGCCGTGTTCTGCACGGGACAGGGGGCGAGGCGGGCAAAGGGCAAGTAGCAGCAGTCAGATGATACCAGATTGTCCTATACAGGGGGTACTGTCCTAAGTTGGTGAGGGCTCGTCTCGTCCCACCCATGCATCCCCAAGCGATGGCCTGCCCGCCAGCTGCCTGGCACAGCCGCACTCGCCTGGCGCCACGCCGTGCAGCGCTTGGTGTTGTGGCAGCAGCTGCAAGGCCATCAAATGAACGCAGGTGTCGCCAGCAGGCGCTGGCAGCCTTGTGCATTGCGCCGACCGGCTTCAGAGCAGGCCAGCCAGCCCAGGGGCACACACACCGCAAGCAGCCGGCTAGCGGCGGCTGGCGGCGCTTGCCTGTCGAAAATAGCCTGCGCAGCGGCCTGCTCTGACTCTACAAGCTGCGGAGTGGACTCCAAATACTCCACACTGCACACAAGCCAGACCAGATGAGATGGGAAGCCGGTGGGCCAGCCCGGGAGGCATCACACATTGAGGCTGCCTGCGCAAGGTCCCACGCCGCTTCTGCCCATGCCTGGCTGGGCGGCCCCACTCACCCGAGCGCAAACTTGAGTGGCTCGCTGCTGGGGCCCCTATTGGAGACAGCACACCTGCAGGCAACCAGCGCCAAACTCGTGTTGGTAGCCCAATTCCCACCACCGTAGGTAACACAACACCCATCACGACCGCGCATCGACAACAGCGGCCCACCTGACATTCGTCTCATTTCCAAAATCTGCAGATGAGATGGTCACGCTGGGAGCCAGCGCCCGCTGTTCTGCATGCAGGGCAAGGCCCCGACGCAAGCACCGACGCAGATTTCAGCACGGCAGCATGAATGAATACGGCCCACCCAAACGTTGGAGGGATGGTGCGTGCCACATGGCACAGCATGCTGTGGCCAGGGAGCACAGGCGGCATGTCACATTTGAGGGATGCTTGCTGCGGCAGGGCACCGCGGCAGGGCACCGCGGTCGTTCAGCCTGTCGCCACAACCGCGGGGCAGCCAAATTGCGCCGCCCAGCCCCACCTCCCACATAATCGGCGTTGTCATTGCTGGGCACTTCATCATTGGAAGGCAGATTGCCCAGCATGCGGCAGTACAGCCCGGGCAGGCTCTTGGTATCCGCAGCCCCTGCAGCGCCGCACAACAGCAGGCGATGGCCGCCAACCAACAGGCTGCTACCTGCTGGTGCTAGAGTTGCAGTGCTAAAGCGCGCCAGTGCTGGCCAGCTGCTGTGTTCTCACTGCACCAGCTGCGGCCGCTGCTCCCCGGGAAGCGGTACCTGATGCTGTGATGATCAGGCCAGTGGCGTTCTTCGGCAGGGTGATGTCATAAACGGGTGTGGGGCTACCCTGCGGCCAACAAGGGAAGAAAGCGGGGGACCGGCGAGGAGTGGGCAGCAGTCGCGCATGGCAGCAGGTAGCGAAGCTGGCGCCGGCAGGGTGGTGCCCACAGCAGCGGCTGCTCACCACCACCACCACGCCTGGCGTGTCCATCGCTTCAGTCACTTCAGTGGTGTTCAGTGTGGCCGCCTGCGACAGTTGGGCCGCCCAGGCCGTCGCCAGCAGCAGGGCAGCTGCCAGCCGGCTCAGGCTGAGGCACCTCATTAACCTGCAGGCACAGGAAGGCATGCACCAAGCATACATCACTGATGTCGCATTGGCCTCCCAGAGGTCGAAAACATCGGGAGGCGGCAGCGAGCGGCGGCAAGTGGCGGGGCAAGTGGCGGCGCCAGCGAGCGGCACCAGTCGCAGCAGCTCTCGGTGCCTGACACAGCTCAACCCGCACGCCCTCACCCCACTGTCCCCACTCCAGATCGAGCGCTTGGAGCTCAGGGCCCGAACACGGCGTGCCGCGGGGTTTGAGAGTTGGAATCAGCCACGCCCGCTGCTCGCTGCGGCAATCCCAGAAGTGCCGCTGGCTGCTGCTTCGGCGATTGGCTGGCCGAACTACGCAGCCAAGCAGAGCATGTACCGCTTTTCCGTACAGGTTTAACTAGTCGACTCATGAGCCACGTAACAGGGCAGAACTTGGCTCTGCAGGCCAGCGTTGAGGCATATGTCCCATTGGGCTTCGGTGCTGCCACCCGATCTGGCGCCACCTGGTGCCGTCTGCGCCACCGCCCAGCAGCGGGGTGTAGTCTTGAGTGACGAACACGCGAGCTTGACAACAGGACACATACATGTAGCACATAAAAACCCGAAACACTTATTTCTGGATCACTTGTCAGTCGTAAATGAGTGGCGGCCGCAACAATACCTCACAAGCCGCCGGGAGCCCGCAGCAGCCAGGCGGGCGCGGCAAGCAGTCCCAGCAGCAGCAGCGCCGACAGCGCCCGGCCCGTGGCGCTGTTGCTGACAGCGGGGCCGGGCGCGGGGCTGGGTGCGGGGATGGGCCCGCATGTGCCCTCCGGTACCCTGACCAGCTCCACCCGGTCAGCTGCGGCAGGGCAGGGCCAGGGAAGGTGGGGTTGGGGTGTGTGGTGGTGGACAAGGTTGGGTGTGGTGGGAGCTGGGCTGGGCTCCATGCCAGGTGGCAGGCGCCCGGCTCACCATCGCCTGCGCCCAGCCCCTCGTTGCGGTTCCACTGCCACACGGCATGCGTGTCGTTGAGCAGCTCCAGCAGGCCGAAGCCGAAGCTCTGCTCCCTAAAGGCGGACCAGGCGGGCTGGGAGGTGGGGCAGAACAGGCCGTCCTGCAGCGTGATGACCGGTTCCTCGCGGTCGATGGGCTGGAAGGGAGGCACCTGCAGCACAGAAAGCGGGGCAGGAGTGGTTGTTGGGTGGCGGGTGGCAGAGTACTGGTGTGTGTGAGTGTGTGTGTGTGTGTGTGTGTGTGTGTGTGCGCGCGCGCGCGCGCGCGCGTACGCGCGCGGCTGTGTGTGGCGGAGGGAGAGGCGGCAAAAGGTCCCACGCGCAGCCCGGGATGGAGGGGGCAGGCGCAGGCGCGCGCGGCGGGCTCACCACGTACAGCGACAGGTTGGCGCAGTACGCCTCCTGCGGCTGGGCGTCGATGAACTGGGTGGACAGGCCCTCCACGTTGCCGCCGTCGCCTGCAGGGGCGGCGCAGGCGCGGGGAGCAGCTCCCTTGAAATCAAGCAGGACAGCTGGCGGGCAGCCCTTGAGGCGTGCTGCTGGGCCCTGCCACTGGGCCCTGCCACGGCTGCAGCGAGGAGGCACAGCCAGCCAGCCAGCCAGCCAGCCCAGCCCAGCCCAGGCGGCGTGCCTCGCTGGCATGCCGCCGCGCCGCCTGCTCGCCGGCACCCTGCTCGCCTATGGTGATGTAGATGGGGCCGCAGGAGTCGCGAGAGTAGTTGAAGATTGGGAAAGTCCTCTCGTAGCTGCGGGGCAGGCGGGATGGGTGTGTGCAGTGGGGAAGCTGGGTTCGGGATGGGATTCCAGGGGGGAGGGGATGGGGCACGGTGGATGGGCGCTGGGCGGTTGACCTGGCGGGCCCAGCTGTTGCTGCAAAGCGCTGCCCGGTGCTGCCCCGCTGGCTGGTCCCCTGCCCAGCGCACGCACGCGTGTGTGTGGCCTGAGAACACCAGGTCTGCGCCGTGCTGGTGGAGCAGGGGCTCGTACACTGTGCGGAAGGTGTTGCCCTGCATGTACTGAGCCACATAGCTGTGGTAGTAGCTGGTGTGGAAGTAGACAACCAGCCAGGGGGTGCGCGCGCGGTCCACTGCGAGGCAGGGGGAAGGTGGGGGCAGGGAGGGAGGTG